TCAACCTTCCTAAAAGAGCACATGTCACTCACCTGTTCATCTCCTTACACTGGTTCCCAGTTACTGCTCACATCAAATTTAAAACTCTGCTGCTCGCTTACAAAACAGACACAAAAACGTCTCCTCCTTACTTTAACTCTCTCATCCAGGTCTACACTCCCTCCCGCCCACTATGCTCTGCCAATGAAAGGCGTCTGATCCAACCTTCACAACAAGGTCCTAAGTCTCTGACTAGACTCTTTCCACAATTTCCCAGTTTAGGATCAATAAAGTAATTCTATTCTATTCTATTCTATTCTATTCTTCTCCTCTGTCACCCCTGGTGGTGGAATGAACTACCAAACTCCATTTGATCTGCAGAGTCCCTCTGCACCTTTAAGAAAAAGCTAAAGAGCCAGCTCTTTCATGAATACCTACTAACTTAATGATGATGGTCTCCATATTATTGATGATGATGATGGTTGTGACGATGGTTTTTGTTTGATAACGACGACTTATAAGATGGTTTCTATACTGATTAGAGCTCTCAAGAACTGCCGTCAATGTTGTGCTTTGCCTCTGATCACTTCCTGTCAGCACCTGTGTGTCCAATCAGACTCAAAGCTGATCGTTTGCTCTTACTAACATTGTTCCCTTTTTTCTAGATCCTTGCTTGTGTTGTACTTACTCTCTGGTGTACGTCGCTTTGGATAAAAGCGTTTGCTAAGTGAATTATAGAATTGTAGAATATACTTTAGAAGAAGCTCATCATGAGGCAGGATACTGCTCTCCACTGTGGAGGCGATCAGCTCTGGAGCATGAAGAACTCCACACTCCATGCACTTCCCTGTAAAAGTCAGTTCAATTAGAATGATTACAGCCAAAACCATCTTAAAATAAGTGTGTTTTGCGTATTATGTGGTCTTTAAGATATAGACACAGAGCCGGTCCTAACCATTTTGGTGCCCTAGGCAAGATTTCAGCCGTTGCCCCTTAAATTGCAGACAGTTTGACCACCAAAGGCTATATTCATCAACTTAAAGAAAACTGGCATACAGCTTTATATTTAACATTATTATTATTAATTTTTTTAAATACTTCTAAACAAACATGAATAAAATGGTAATAACTCTAAGGTTTCTTAAAAATAAATACAAATAAATAGTGTAAAAGAACAAACAATATCAAACAGTGCAGGGAGCAGAAGTGCTCACAGACAGCCCAGGGATGGATTTAAATGTTTCTGATTGCATCTGGAGAGAGATGAGCATTTGTGAAACAATGGAAATTTTATAATATAGTGTGAACACAAAATATTATTTTCTCTTCAGAGCAGTAGCTGCTTTTTAAACAGGTTATTGATTAGACTTTCAACTAACTATCTGTAGATTGTCAACTTCTTGTAAGTTTACACTCAACTACTCTGAATCAATCTGTCAGTTGAAAGTCAACAGTATGATGTCAACATATCCCCAAGGTTTCTCACTCATCAAATGACTGACTCTGTTGATACTCTGTTGGTTGTCAACTACAGATTAGATTAAGTGACTATTAATAGATAAGATACTAATTTGTAGTTGACTATCTGTTGATTGTCAACATATATAAATATGACTATCAACAGACTATTAGTAGACATTAGTAACTAAGCATTTGTAGACCTGTGTTAGGACTATCCAATTAAAGTGAAAAACAGTTGGTAACAGTACAAACTCTATAAACTATCAACAGACTATTAGTAGACATTAGTAACTAAGCATTTGTAGACCTCGTGCGAGATCCTCCCTCCCCCCGGTCTCAGGGAGGCTGATGAGAGACAGGGTGCTTCGGGAGGTCTTGCACAAGATCCTCCTGAAGCACCCTGTCTCTAGATTCGAGATGGGTGTGTGGTAATCATTGAGAATAGGTAGTCAATTTTCAACCCATAGCAGCCCCTCCCTACCTCTTGTATGTTGTTATTTTCCCTTTGTCTCTCTCTTTTATTATTGTTTTTTGGTCCAAGACAGTCATCCAATGCCACTGTGAACGCAATTCTCACGAGACCAGTGTGAGATCCATGATGGCAGCATTCAGCCCCCTGGAGATTTGTTTTGACAACTTTTTCGACCACTGTTCCAAAGGACCCAGCATTATGAGCGCGGCATCTTCACTCACTAAGAAAACCCGGGAAATCCAGCAACTCTCCAGGTTACAAAAGAGCACGTTCAGATTCACTGCCCAGCACAGGTACATCTCATGTACATGTTTTGTAATAAAAGAGCAGCTTCTGCTAGACCCCAGATCCTCAGGGGCCCAAAACCCAGAGCTCAATTGTAGCAATGTGATTAGGTATAATTCTGCTGGATGTATGGAACTACATTGAAACATGAAATCCACTTGTATAGACCTAGGGGTAGGTCCTGCCTTATAAACAGATTTCTCAAGGTTTTGACTTTAAGAAGGACCAATAACAATTCTTTACATTTTGGGGACATGAACTTTAAGGAGCATGTGACTGTTTAAAATTAAATTAAAACAGTAAATCTTTGGCTGTAATATTCCTGTATTGTAATACTGTTCATTGTAACGGGTTGAACGGGGGTTAAAATCAGTTTAGCAAATCATTTTAGCACCAAGGCTCCAAAGCAGCTTAGTCTGTCCTGCATCAACAAAAGCAGGTGAATTCCCTTTTAGTATGTCTTCACCATGTTTTGTAATAAAAGAGCAGCTTCTGCTAGACCCCAGATCCTCAGGGGCCCAAAACCCAGAGCTCAATTGTAGCAATGTGATTAGGTATAATTCTGCTGGATGTATGGAACTACATTGAAACATGAAATCCACTTGTATAGACCTAGGGGTAGGTCCTGCCTTATAAACAGATTTCTCAAGGTTTTGACTTTAAGAAGGACCAATAACAATTCTTTACATTTTGGGGACATGAACTTTAAGGAGCATGTGACTGTTTAAAATTAAATTAAAACAGTAAATCTTTGGCTGTAATATTCCTGTATTGTAATACTGTTCATTGGTAACGGGTTGAACGGGGGGTTAAAATCAGTTTAGCAAATCATTTTAGCACCAAGGCTCCAAAGCAGCTTAGTCTGGTCCCTGCATCAACAAAGCAGGTGAATTCCCTGAATCAGTCCTTAGTTCATTACATCCTGTTTTAACTTGTTTAATGCTTAAAAATCAATGCAGATGTACCGCTGCCATCTAGTGGCCTGTTGTGTAGATGTGGTCTGTTTTACATAAGGGGAGGAAACTCGGCTAATGCCGTGCTGACTCATTAAATCATCTTCAGCCTGTCAAACACACACAAAGTCAGAGTCCTTTAAATGTCTAGGCCATTAAAATGAACCACTCTTCCATTGTATACTGTACCTAAACTGTCCCTGGTGTTATCAATATGTACAAAATGTCAAAATGATTTCTAATATGTAATATTAAGAGACAAAACTATTTTCCCTTTTGATATACACAACGTTTTGTTCATCATAATCTGATCACAGGTCTAAGATTTCATGTTCTCAAAGCGGAAACATAATCTTTTTTTGCTTTCATCTAAGATCCCCCTCACTATATAATGACACTGGAGAATTGGCCTAATAAATCACGCTGAAAAATTACCTCCCACATACATCCCCAGAAACCAGCAAGGTTCCAGAGAGACAAAAATCTTAACGCCATAACTGCCAGCAGCTAGGCTGCAAACTTCTCATTATATTCTTGTATAACTGCAGGTTGAATATAAAAACACTTTTCAGCAGATCAAGTAAAATCTGCATTAATGTGAATATTTTTGATATTAGAAATATCAAATAACTTTCCCTTAGAAGTATGTATGTAATTATCTGTCACAAAGCATTCATTTATGAGATATCATATGTAAGCTTGTAAGGCTGCACTTATTCCTCTGAGAAATGACACAACAGGAAGTCTGATGAGAATCTGCTAGGAGTCGTACTCCAAATCTCATCACCGCCAAATAAGTGAATCAAAAGCAATGGCAGCCATCTTATCACAACTTCCCCTGTCTGTTTGGTGGACCCTGGTATCTGACGAATCCTTATCATGGCCATACAGTGCTGGTTCACATGTCATGTTATCACACTGGTCCCTTCCCCAGGGCTCCCACAGGAAAGGTCTGTTCCCAGGACACTACATGCCAAGTATCCCAACTGCCTTATGGTGAGGGAAAAAATGCAGAGTGGTCAAGAGAGGCCTGTGAATTTAAGCAATCAAATGTTTCTGATACTATGAGGGATGGCTATGACTAATACAAGTGAGAGCACATCAAAACTACCATGAGGACTTTTTTTCTGGTTATGAACCAGACTGAAATGAATACTAATGTCTGTATATTACATACAGAGAAAATGAGACCATCAGGTAAAAGACTGATTAATTGTATGTAGTAATGTTTGATAACTGTTACTGCTGCTGCTGCTAGGTCAGTGTCAGATGAGGACAGCTACAGTACACAAAGCTGAAATGTCTTAATTAACATTTTCAACATTAGCTTTAAATAACTTAAAGGTTAATCTTAGTTGATGTATTCTGTCAAACTAGAAATACTGATACCGTTAATCTTTACAACTCAAAACATTATTTTGTACTTCATGTGTTTTCACACTTTTCACAATAAAGATTTAAAAAATGTTTTAAAACAAATACACTCTTAGGTTGTAGTGGCACATTGTTATAGTGTTTTGTTCAAACAGCACGAATCATATTTGAGGGCTGTGTTAACAAGGTGTTTACTCTGAGTGCTGTGTAATGCTTAACCTTTACTAATGTAATAGTAGGACCCACTCAAATAAGCGGAAACATGTGTGTCATATGTGGTAGATGTGGGCTTTCCCCCCATAAGGCATCGAGGGAATGCGTCATTGTTTTTTCTTGTTGTGTTTGATAGTAGGTCTATTATATTTATTTTTCGTTATATTAAAGTAGCAAGGAGCACGAGCTGAGGTGGGCGTGGAGGAGGTGACCAACGACTCCACGCGCTTATTTCATAATATCATGGTGACATCATCGTGGGACCTGCAGCTGGTGCTGCTGCCGTGAGACGTTGCTACCCCGTCGCTGTGTTTGGACCTGTGGCTCGGAAATGCATCTTGTGTCCCTTCTTTTAATCCCACATTAAGAGAAACGAGATATGTCCGCTCAGGGATTGTTGAGCAGTGTTTTCTCATGCTCGCTGAGCCCGAAAATCATTTCCAAAAGGAGACTGAGACAGACGAGGAGTCTGGACCCGGCGCTGATGCGACATTATGGGACAGAAGTTGAGGAGACGCCGTATAAGGTGGGTGTGCTGAACGTTTCCAGTTCTCATATATGGTTAACTAATGATATGTCAGATTTCAGAGAGTTAGCAGTAGATTTAAATGTTTTTACAGTGCTTTGAAGAAGTCAGTGTTAAGGGTTTGATAAGGACATCCGAGTGTGACGCGAAAACAACACTTTTAAACTTATTCATGCTAACTTATGACTTTACTATGGGTCTTGCATTTCAGTTGTATTTTCTTAATGCATACACCAAACATTAGGCTCCTTACAATAATCTATGAGAGAACAGGACCAGAACACACTCAAGTCAACGCTTTAGAAAAATAGATCCAAATTCCGGAAGGGTCTGGAATTCCCTTCAGGATGGTCGGTAGTACCCTCTGAAGTCTAAAGAACACCTTTTGTTAACTTTCCCGCTTCAAATGACATGCGATGAAGACTGTAATTGAAAAGAAATAAAAACTAAACCGTCTTCGACATGTGTATTGCAACATCCCTATTCACCAAGTATGTGACTAGCAGGACAAACAGTTGTGCACAGTAAAGCTTCACGTGTGACCCAGTCGTGCTCTAAAGAGTTTAATATCTGCGTCACTAAACCATTGTTTTAGTGATGATTCAGTGATTCAACATCTTGATGAAATGATGTCAGACACCACTGCTTGTTCCATCTTGCTGTTGTTTCTGAAAGAGGTGTAAATGGAATTTTTTGTTACTTTTGGCAAGTGCTTAGTTACACCTGACTAAATAAAAGTATTTTGTCACAGAAGAATAAAAAAACTGGGTGGAGATCTGGGAAAAAAAAATCCATTGTGGATTTGTGCAAAGCAGGACCATTATCACCCTAAAGCAAAACGTTTCATTTTTATTCCACCTTTAAAACAGAGTCATCCTACAGTTTGCTTACATTTAAAGAGGTCCTTTTGTTGTCATTTAAACATCCAAAACAAAGGTAGGAAAGTTATATTCTAGATTTAGTGTTTTTCATCAAGGTTTTGGATGAATCGGTTTCTTTTTCCTTTCTATTATACTCAAAGAAGCAAGTCAGCTGAGTTATTACTGCATATACTGGTCCTAACACATGGAATATGATTATAGGCTGTTTGTCTTCATTAGGAGGCACAGTGTCATGTCATTAGCAAAGAGGATATTTTAAAAATCATTATTTGCATCTCTTCTGCTGTTAGAGACAAATCTCTTCAAGATTTATAGTATTTAGTGATGTCCCATGTTCTTAGTTTGAGCCAATTTGTACTGCAGTGCTTAATCTGGTCGTCATGGCAACAGTTTGTTTAGTATAATGGAAAACTGCTAAAGAGATTATAGTAGGCTTGAGATTATAATAGGCTTGTAATGAATACCAGCTACCTGATCTCCCTTACAAAAACAAGAAGCCAGTTTACAGCCAGAGCAGTTTGAAATGTAATCATAGTAAATCTAATTGAAGTTGATTAATATTGAAGACAGCTCTGTGTCGGAGATGATATTCAATGCAATTTATCACTTTGTGCCGGTGTGCGGCTGGTGCCAGAGAGCTGCACTGCAGTAGCAAGCTTCACAGTGGACACCAACCTCAAACAGCTATACATATTCTCATTAATCACAGATGATTTTTAGATGTACTAACTCTAGACTCAAGAGCTCCAACAACCCAATGAGAAAAACATTCCGCCAGTGAAGCAAAGGTCATAGGTCATAGATGCTGCCTGACACACATGACACACATGTTGGCTTAAACTGGCAGTAAGTAGGTGTCTTGCAGTATGCAAACCTTATTCTAAGTCTTTAATGACAGTCACATTCTCTAAGTGGGAACATATCCAGAGAGCAGTTCATTCGAGGACAGCAGTATCTAAGAGACCATCGAATAACACTGATGAAGTCAGGCTCAAAACTCTGCTGCACCTCCACCCAATAAAAGGACCACTTCCTAAGAACTCTCCTTTTAATAATAAATACCATCCTACATGTCTTGTAACTCAAGTTATGGAGGCCTCTTGTCAAAGTAACTGTATTTAGGTTCTTATACAGAGAGTATCCTTTTTATTGTTGAGGAAATAACAAATCACATTGGCAACAAAAGGATTTGAACAAGAAATGGTACAAGGCCAAATCTTGCTAGTTCACAATGATAATTTGAAATCCAGTTTGAAAAGGAGTTTTTGTCTGGAGCCTAGGGTATGCTCTGTTATCAGGATGCATATGACTCAAAAGATCACAGAGCGATAAGGAGCTGTAACATATTCCCGGCATAAAAAAGTTGTATTTTTGAGCAATGCTTTAAACGACCTAGTATTTCCCATAGGTTGAATTATTGGCTTTATAAGAAATGCACTTAAGTAAGGTTTAGTAGAGACGTGGATAAAGCCTCGGCTTTTAATTCTCACAGTAGAGCAGTATGATCTGATCCTTGGCTGTGTCCCTCAGGCACATATTTCTTCCCACAGGAGACTGTCTGTTTGCATAGCATGGAGCTAAACCTGCTGGCTTCAAGCTGCAGCACCATGACATCTAATGAGTGTCTAATAAGAAGAAAAACAAAGTGTTGTTTAGATGTAAACATAGACTGACACCCTGTCACTTTCAAACACTTACCGCATGTATGATTAGATGACATACGAGCTAGTATTCTCTTGGGTTTAGTTATTTGACTTTCACAGTTATCTTCTTTATATCACGTTCAAGTTGCCATCACATATGACACAGCAACAGACACTTTCATATAACGGTCCAAAAAGAAATCAAAAACAAAAAGCAGTGAAAGTTTATGTGATCATATCAATATGGGTTCTTTTGGTTTCGATGAATCACAAGCAAACACTATTTCAAAATGCTAGCTAACTGGCTATATATGTATACCCTTGTGAACTGCACTACCTCTGATCTGTGTTTATCTCCTGTGTTCATCTGTACATTGCATTGTTGATTTCGTCTTCAGGGGTTTTGAAGTTTGTTGAATATCATGCAAAAGTAGGCAATACTGGGCTAATGTTTCATATGACTGTGTTCCAATCCCTGCTTCAATCCACATAAGTGCCTAGCATTGGTAAGAGCCATGTTAGATTAATTTCAAATGAATTAGCATTTCATTTTGGGATGTTCTTGGACTCGTTTCTGGACATGAAAACCTTCTGAAATATTGGAAAATATTGCTTTTTGATTAAATCTTCAATGTGAAAACTACCTTATGAACTGTTCCTCAATATCATCTTTTTGTACATCATGTTTTCATACCATGAAAAGTTCTATGTCAGAGATCATGATTTTGTAAAGAGCCTTGCAATGTGTTACGTAAACTTCATTAACTTTGATTTAATGCACAAGCCTTTCGGTAAATTCCTGTGTAAGTCAGAAAACAGCGGGATCAGACATGCAGCTAGAGAATAAATCTTCCTTTGGTCATGTTTCAAGACACTGAAACCTTCAGTGGGAGCCATTGATCATTCTTTTGTAGCAGTTTAGTGACAAAATAAGAGCATTTATCGTACGGACAAAGATAAATGTTTGACAGTTGGAAGCATCCAAATAGACGACATTCATCTAGGCTGAAGCAAAGTCTTTTTCTTAGTTTGGTAAAATGTCTATGACCACCCGGTTACAGATGCTGTCACTTTTACAAGCCCTGCAGTTTTACATGGAACATGTGGCACATGTTATTTTCACATTAGTTTTTGTTGTGCACAAAAGCAACAAAGGCTTTAGCCATATGATTCCAATAACACTCTGATGTTCTAATCACTCCTTCTGTCATGGAAAGAAGGAACATTCAATTCTAATGCAGAATTATTTTTTTGTTGCATTGCAAACTGAGTTACTCATACAATAATGTCTCACAGTGTTGTGAAGCTCCTTGAAAGGACTGGTTAAATAATGTGATTTAAACTAGAAAAGTTAAAGTTAAAGTGAAGTATGCTGTTAGAGTAACACTGAAAGCATTATTCCTTTACCTGTACCAGTACCATGACGAGACAAAGCCTGTCTGAGATAGAGCAATCTAGAAATGCTCAGGCCTCGCCCCAGAGTCTACACTCCACATTGCAAACTTTTGGCTGACATCAAAGCCAGACCATTTCTCAATGTTGGATTGATGTCAGGTCCTGTTTGTGGGCTGACATCAAATCCCGACCACTTCCTGAGCATTCCCCAATGTTTTATTAACCTCATGTCCCCAAGTTGAGCCTACGTGAAATCTCAGACATTCCCCAACGTTGGATTGATTTCAGGTCCCAACATTAGGCTGTCGTCAAATCAAGAACATTTCCCAACATTGGATTGACGTCAGGTCCCATGGTCTGGCTAAATTCAAATCCCAATCACTTCATAAAGTTGGATTGATGTCAGGTCCTGACGTTGGTCCGACATCTTATCCTGATGTTGGGCTGATGACATGCAAGTCACAATCATGTTCCAATGTTTGATTGACATCAGGTCCCTATGATTGGCTGACATTAAATCACAGTGGCCTGCCTTCTAGGGACTTTTTGGAATTTATTCCAGTTTTGCATAATTTTAATGTTGATTTAATAGCCAATGATGATCTTTACATTTCTCAACATTAGTGACTTTTATTATTCCAACCCAAGGATACTTAGTAAGTAATAGAGATATTTACATCGTCCTTAAGCAGAAATATGCCATTACATTAAAACATTGTTTTCTAAGAGCAGATAGAAATATTTATTTAATTCAAGAATGACAGAATGTAATTGTAATTGAATGAGTTTTTTGGTGCTGCTTTTCTTCCCTGTTTTGAAGGACACCTTGTCTTATTTATATTTTTTTAACCCTCTACCTAACACACATTCTTCAAAATGACTAGATGTAACATCATGGTTACATTCATTCTATGTTTTAACATGTTAAAATGATTTTGAGTAGAACTTGTGCATAAAATAATCATAACAGAGTGTATCGGCTTTTGTGGGACAGTCTTCCCACAATGCCCCATTGAACAGCTTCCTGAGCGCTAGGAAATATTCATCACCTCACTGGATCTAGTTAATGTGGCTTTGATTAATGTAATCTGAGCTTCAATCTGGCTATTATTGTTTGAACACAGAATGTTTCCTCATATTGTTTCCAAGGGAGTCCTAGCAAAATCTTTGCATTCAACATGCACTTAAATTAAATTGAACCAACAAAGTAAATGAACCCTAGTGTTTCTTAAGAGAGGAAGGGTAAAGATAATTTATTGGCTGATTTGTGAAAAAAATTATTGATCATCCATATTGTGTTAAAAAAATACATTTTTGATAAAAAGTAAAGTAAAAGTTTAAAAACACCTTCATGTGTCTTTTCACAAAGTCAGATGACTCACAATGTTCTGGAGTGGAGACATTTTGTGTTGTTATTTTTATTCACATTATTTTAAGATATATTTTTGGGCTATTTATGGATATTTTTGCAGGACAGTAAATAGAATAAGAAATGAGAACGAGATAGTGGGGATGGCTCTAGGCCGACTGCACCCCATAATTATTTCATATTTAAGTTGCTTGCTTCATTAGTGACCCTTGCAATCATAAACTCAGTACAGTCTTTGACTGTAACCGTTTCTCAACTTGGACCAGCTGTTTACATCCTGACTTCCATTGTGGGACAAAAACATCCACAAATTAAAAGAAAAAAGAAAATAGATTAAGCAAATTGATGGAAATCATCCGCCCACAAACACTTTAATATATTTATATTGAAGTGAAGATTTAGAAGATTTTTTTATTCTCATAATTAGAGGGAATAGTTTCCCCTAGTACAGTACTTAGTTCCAGTACTGTACCTAAGTGGCACTTAGGCCATCCACTCAAAAATATATGTATACAGTATGATTCATTCAAATTTTTGATTATGAAATATCATGTGGGGTTCTCACAGCAGAATACTTTTGAATGACATAAGCACAGAAAAATGCTTTGATTTGATGACATCACTTCATTGACTAAGATAAATGGTGGGAACCCAGCTTACCCCCTTATCAGATAGGAAGTAAGTTTCCACTACCATATCGTTACACAAGAGGAATGTCTGAACCAAATGGGAGGGTAAACATTACTATATAATTGTCTCCCAATCATCTGTTGCCATGTTACAAACAAATTAATAGAATACAGTGCACTCAATTAGCTTGACATCAGATTCAAGCAGTGAGGCAGGCTACCATTGTAATGACTCTAGATATACTTTAAGATGGCCAGCTCAGTGACACGTTTAAGTTTAATCAAAAGACAGCCTGTTAACACATCTGTATTGCAGCAGGTCTAAAGTTGACAGGATATCAGAATGATTATTGCTGAATTTGTTGTTGTTGGTTTATTTGAAGAAAGAAAAACAGCAAACGATGTCACCCTGGATTTAGAATTCTGTATTTTATCCGATTTTATATGCCAAATAAGTAATCATGTATTCTGTGTTCGGTAAAATAACAATATATGTTGTTAGAATAAAATATTATTGTCCGTTGATGTCTGTTCTATAAAAACAACAATACTGTTTTCATACTGCAGAGTTTTGACATTTTACAGTAGAGCACTTTATGCAGCTAAAGCTTTATTCACTTGCTTGTGGTACTGACAGTCCACACAGGTTGTAATTCTGTTGCTGATCATTTCTCAGCTTCTGAAATTCAAATTGGACATGGTAAAGTCCTAAACCTTTTTTGCAGAGGACATATGCACGTTGTGTGACATTCTTTATTCATGTTTATACTCATCATACTGTATTTATACTAGAAACTGCTATGCTACTGTTGCACAGTCCTTATTCTCATTCAAATGGAAAGGATCCACTTTAGTGAGTCTTAACCTAATTATGAGCTACTGAGCTACTCTTTAAGACATGACTCATCTGATTGGCAGACTACAGTGGATCAGAGTTTTTTAATCTCCAGCATGAAGAAGCTCTGAGGTTGAGGATTTCAAACAGAATGATTTTCCCCGTCAGTAGTACAGTACTTCATAATGGCTCTTTAGTGGGCAAAGACTACCAATAAAGTATTGATTGATAAAGTATTCAGGAGAGGTTATTCTGAAATCAGTGGTGCATGCGTCCAAATGATGTGCAGCCTCATGTAGTTGATTGCATTGAGAGGGGACAGAATAGAGATGAGGTATTTTTTATTGCACCGTCAGCTCAGGCAGGGTCTGCAGAAGGTGTGACTGGTTGTGACCTCAGAACGTGACAGCAGATGTGTCTGTTGTGTTTAGTGAATATCTGTGTGTGTGTGTGTGTGTGTGTGTGTGTGTGTGTGTGTGTGTGTGTGTGTGTGTGTGTGTGTGTGTGTGTGTGTGTGTGTGTGTGTGTGTGTGTGTGTGTGTGTGTGTGTGTGTGTGTGTGTCCTCAGGGTGACTTCACCTGGAACAGCGTGTCAGGACACAGTGTTGGCCTGAAGCCCGTCCCCCTGCAAAGCCTTTCAGAGTTGGAGAGGGTCCGCCTTCAGGAAGTGGCCTTCAGGCGATTGCTTCGCGATCACTACCTGGGTTGCCACATCAACATTCCTAAATGTATTAAAACACACATACATGTAAACACACACGCACACACACGGTCAATGCCTCTACCTTCATTTTAACTGAGTTGTTATTCCGTTGAAGGCAAAAGCTTAACACAGCATGTCTTATAAAACACAGACCAGCTTAATAGCAGAAAATGTGTAAAATTCATTATTCGTTGATTGCATCAACAAATTGCTGCTCAATGGATTTCATGGAGAGAGCTTATCTGCTTTAAAAAACTGTAATTGGTTTTGTAATCCCAGATTTGCATCCTCAATTAAATGAGTTATTTTTCTTGCTTTGTAGTCGTTGCATATTAACCAACTGGAGAACCTTTCACTTTTCAGATGGCCACAAGCACAAGAAGTCCCTCAGGAGGAAGTTGGATTCATTATCCAAAGAAAAAAGTAAAGACAAAGGTAATGTTCAATTTACTCTACATGTTCTTTCTAGCTTTTTCATTTTCTTGCGCTTGAAAAGATGTTTGACATTTTAAGGCTGGAGCCATATAGACTCAGTGAAGCAGCTGTTTATACCCATGGAGCACTGATCTTAATCTAGAACACAGGAAAGAAGTCTCAGAGGGAGCTGTGATCTTCCACTGCTGCCTGCTCAAACAATCTGGCAGGAAAGTGATGTTCTCTGTCGGAGAGGCAGTCGAGGGAAATAACAAAAACAATCTTAAGTGGAGGCTCATTCATTACAGCCTGTCCTCCGGCGTGGCCAGCCCTCGATTTCCTCTTTTCTCTGTCTGTCTGTTTACAGAAGCACTTCAGAAAGTATGTGCTCCCCGACTCTGAATATCGAGCGACAACTACAGATTGCTGTGCCCACTCAATATTGGCATTTATTTTAAAAGTTCAAGTTTGAATGGAGAGAATGAATGCAAGGAAAGACAATAACAAGAGGGTAGAAAATATAACTGGACTTACAAATTTTATTCAATATCTCCCATTTGATTTGGAGCCAACAAGATGAACTTTAAGTCTCCCTGTTTCACCCTTCCCCCCTCACACAGAGCCTTTGCCCCGGGCGTTTGGCATACCGCTGTCTCAGGTCATATCCAACGACCGCACACACAAGCAGAGGCACGACCCCCCACGGGAGGAGCACAGCGACCCTACCGAATTGATGCTATCCTTCCTCCAACTCACCTCCAGCTTAAGAAGAGCCAACAAGGAGCTCTCCAGCAGCAACTCCTCCCTCAGCTCCACTTCTGAGACTCCTAATGAATCGCCTCTGCCCAGGACGCCCGACACAGCCCCACGGACACGCAGGAGGGTAGGCTCGTCTGTCCATACACTTCACATTCTGATTACAATAGTACATGCACTACATTTCTCTGGGAGTCTGTGACCTTTTTGGATATGAACTCAGTGGGTGGATGGTGCAGCCATTAAAGGACTGTACAGCGTTTCATAACCAGTCACTGCACAGTTGTCTCACATCTGCTTGACAGGGAGGAGTATCAGTGGATTGCATCACAGACCTTGATGATAACCAGTCTCGCCTGTTGGAGGCCCTCCAGCTCTCTCTACCAGCAGAGGCGACCGACACCAGGAAGAAGCGCCATGAGAAAAAGCTCAGCCTAAACCCTATTTACAGACAGGTGCCCAGGGTGGTGGATCTCTGCTGCCAACATCTGGAAACATATGGTACACATTAGCTCAAATATAACAATTATAATATATTCTGCAAATGCAGTTAAGTTATAATCATATGAATCATACTATTTTATTATCTCTTAGGATGAACATATGATGCAATGTTTGAACTAAGAGAGCATCTTCCTCATGTCTCAGGTCTACAAACAGTTGGAGTTTTCCGTGTCGGGAGCTCAAAGAAAAGAGTACGACAGGTACAGTTTCTGATGCTGAGATAATCAAAGCTTTCTACAATTTAATGACTTTAATAAACTATAAGCAACATGTTGTGATAATAATCATAATGTTCACCCAGCTTCGTGAGGAGTTTGACCAGGGATGGGAGGTACAGCTGGGCGTGGAGCACAGTATCCATGATGTAGCCGCATTGCTGAAAGAATTCCTCCGAGACATGCCTGACCCCCTGCTAACAAGAGACCTCTACACGGCCTTCATCAACACATTGTGTAAGGGGCACACACATACACACACATGTAAAATAACAACAAGTCATCATGCTTTGGTAACATTTATGTTGTTGTTGTTGTTGTTGTTGTTGTTGTTGTTGTTGTTGTTGTTGTTGTGTGTGTTTAATTGACATCAATGGGTGGTGGCCTTTGTCCTGCAGTTCTGGATGATTCAGACCAAGAGAGCGCCATCCAGCTGCTGATATTTCTGCTTCCTCCCTGTAACAGCGACACGCTGCAGCGCCTCCTCTGCTTGTTGTCTACTGTGGCTGCAAATGCTGAAGACAGCCTGAACCATAAGGGACACGAGGTAAAGAAACAGTGCATCCCCTGTTGTTTTGGCCTGAGATGAGATTTATACAGAAATAAAATGAGCAAAAAAACAAGATGTCAAAATGATGTCTGTCACTCTGTCATTCTATCCACAAGTGTAATCAATATGTTGAAGCAATGAGCAACTATCAATGAGTTCTGCTAAAATAAACTGTTTACAAGTTTAATGAGATTGTGATGAAGCCTAATCGCCATCAGAGGGCAGCAGGACAGATGTTTGTAACATCTGCACCATTTCAAGGTGCTTGGCTGAAGTGCAGCACATCAGGCACGATGACCCATTGTGGATATCTAGATTAAATATGCACCACCAATCACCCAGCTGCACAGTTACCACACAAACAGTGTGCTGCTTCATATCATGTGTTCTGTCATACATTGATTTTGTTTCTTGTGGACAACAAGAAGAGTAAATGAATAGTGCCAATATCAATGCATACATCCACAGACAGGCAACAGTATGTCACACATGTGGAAACACATTTTGGATGTCTGGTTACAATAATGAGTCATATGAAACATTTTGATCGATCACCTTCTTTTTTAAAGCAAAGCTTCTTTAAGCACATGCTTTATGAGATCTGTGTGAATGTCCCAAGTTTTTTAATTATATCTCCTTCACATAAACCTGAACTGCCTTTTGTTGTGCTCTTAATCTGTTAGTGTGGAATTGACTTTTGACTACTAATCCAGTGATGGAGATTACTTGTTTCCCACGGATACAAACCCAGTTTATTCTTGGCTTCAGTCCATAGTATACATAATGTAGAGGTGAACAAGAGGTCTGCTTATTCTCCTTGAACAAAAAGAAAAGGAGAGTCAGTCTTAATGATGGTGGCAAGGCTGTGTTCCCAAAATGTCCGAAGTGCCAACAAGGGTCAGTGTACCCTGAAAGTGTCTGACATGTTTAGTTATTCTGCATGCAGTTTTGACTTTTTTATGAACATTGGCAGAAATGAGCACATTGAAATACAAATCTAGGGTTATTGGCTCCATTTTTAACTTCAATATGAATCATTTCAGGTTAGAAAACTTTGTGTTTTTATTGTAGGGGTAGAATTTTGGGTTATGTCAAATACTATTTTTCCATCATCTGAAAGGGGCCTAGGCCATCTTCTGATTAATATTTAGCTTTAATCTAAAGATTATTGTTCAAAAATAGAATTGCTTCTAATTAAAAAGAATGTTTTACTTGCGTTGCATTATGTACCATACTGTATATACTGATTATGAAGTGAAAGAACTGTGAAGTTAAATGTTGTTTACACTGACATGTTTAAGTAAACTGTTTTTTCTTCTTCCGTTTTGTTTAGATCACAGGAAACAAGATGACATCACTCAATTTAGCAACCATCTTTGGACCCAACCTTTTACACAAACAGAAAAATACAGACAAAGAGTTTGCAGTGCAGAGTTTTGCCCGTGCAGAGGAGAGCTCTTTTATCATCAGTGTGGTCCAAAGGATGATCAGTACATATGATACACTGTTTATGGTAAGAAAGACTATTTTCTCTGAAAACAAAAATAATTATAAAGAGTTTCCCTTTTGAGCAAAGTTCTTAATCTTAAGTAGAGTCGGCTAATAAAATATAAAACCTGAGCTTTATAGAAGTCTTAAGCTTTTACAACCACTTATAAAACAAAGCAGCATCATAGGGAGTCCTTCCTGTTACTTTCTCTCTTCAACCTTGGGAAGCGTCACGAGTACAATATTTAGTGCTTGGCAAATGAGAATCCAAACTGAAGAGGTTATAATGTCACTCAAGCATTTTTATCGAGAAAGTGATTAAGAGTAAGGGCAAGATTATGATCTACATTATGTTTTTGGCTTTTCAACAACTACTTCTTAAGTGTCGATGCTCTTCATTATTTGAAAATGATCCGTTGAAGAAGCCACAGGGTTAAAGAAAACAACTGTCAGACATTTGATCTGCATCATTAATCCTGCTTTTTTAAACTGCAGTTAATTATTCTGGCGCTATATGAGACAGCAACATGCTGTTTCATTTGTATAATGCAAAAGCCTTGTCGCAAAGGAGCAATTCACTTATAAACAGTGACATTAACTAATTGAAATGGAGGAGATAATGTGTTTAGTGAGTATTTGGTCAAATTAAAAAAACAAAGAATACAATTTGACTCTTGTTTTGATTGGACCCAGGTGCCTACTGACCTGCAGAATGAGGTGCTGATGAGTTTGCTGGAAACTGATCCTGATGTTGTGGATTATTTACTGAGGAGGAGGGCCTCCCAGAATTTGTGAGTTTCCAGCCTCTTAAGCATCACAAAGTCCAATGTATCACACCTCATAATAACACCCTGGATGATTCTTGTTTCTGCAGAGGACAAGACCTTCTCAGAGCAGAAGAGTCCTTCTCTCTGACTGACAGATGCTCATCCAACGACTCCGTTAAAGCATCCAGTGGAGAGGTGTCTCCTTATGACAACAACTCTCCTGTGCTGTCAGATCGACTGCCTGCTAAACATCTGGAGGACAGCAGTCCACACTCACAGAGAATCAACAGACTTTCTGGGCACTTAAAACCCAGCAGCCGTTCTCAAAACGGCTCTGGCAGCATCTCTCCTACACTTTCAACAGACAAAGGTAATGTTATACTGAAGTATTGTAAAGGAATAGGTTCATTCTGGTAAATATGCTTATTTCACATTCTTTATGACATTTAAAGAGGGAGATTGAAGCCATTGTCCCATCTGTATGATAATGCATGAGGCAGGAGCCAGCAGCCCGTTAGCTTTGCTCAGCATGAAACATTGAAAGAGGCAGTTGGCCTGACTGTCCAAGAGGTAACAACAATTTTATATTGAATATCTTTCATACATATTAGGTTATACATTCACATAAAACACATGTATTTCAAATTCCAAATCTTGTCCCCTATTCCCAGTCTTTTTTTTTAAGTGGCTGCAGGCTGTAGCTTTATATTTACTGTTCAGACATGAGTGTGGTATTGTTCTTCTCATCTACCTCCAAGCAAGATTAAGCAAAATTCCCAAAATGTTTTTTTATTTATTTGTGTCTTAATGGTGTTAAAGACATGAAAAACTTTGTTAGCTTTCACAAACAGCAGCTTTTCACGCTTAGCTGTTAAAACAGACGAGACCTGAAGAAGCTGTCTCGCCTTGCTCACGGCAAAAGAAGCTTGTCTAAATTATTATGACGAATGTTTTATTGACAGAATGATCAAGTAACCCTCTTCATGTTTTGTTTCTTTTTTAGAGGCTTCATCTGAGGATTTCTGGGACACCTGGCATGAGCTGTTCAGCAAAGATTTGAGTGTCCGTCACATCACTGGTAATAGATTTCTCTGAACATGTTGCTGGAGAAAGTTTTGAGATATGTAATGAGTGCTGGGTGTTAATGAATGGTTTCTCCCAGGCTCCCTTGGAGACGTGTCGGAATGTGAGTCGTACGGTTCATCAGAGGGGCCGAGCTGTCACCACGGTAACAACAAGCCTGACAGACCAACACAAACCTCATTGGGCGTGCTGGAAAGCAGGCCACACCTCCCAGTGACTCGCAGCAGCAGTGGTCCTCATGACAAGAGAGGACAGGGACAACAGCAATCATTCTTACATCAGGGTTTGAGTGGCCAATCAGCAGCCATCGGCTTGGACAGTTTAGCAGACAGGACAGGACGCCCTGTGTGCCCGTTGGTAAAGGATGGTTTGACTTCTTTTCACTGCATGGGACAGCTGAGGGAGACTCATATCTCTCACTCCACGCCCTGCCTCTTCACATGTAAGAAAGATCCTCCAACCCAACAGGAGAACAAGCAAAGCCCGGCCCTAAACACGGACACAGAAAAGGGTCCTGGTGCACCAAATGGGCCAACAGAGAGGTGGCATATATGGCAGATACTATCAAAAGAAAAGGCAGAAGCTCTGCCTGAGACGTTGGTGTGAAGCACACTTTAACTGTCTAACTACAATAACTTCTCTGTTGTCTCTGTTCAAAGTCTTTCTCTCTGATTGAACAACTTAATGCCAACTGTTGTGTTACGTCTTTACTTTGTATAAAATATATTATATATGTAACGATGGTTTGATGAAATTGAAGACATTTTTTAATGTGTTGAAGTCATGAATGATACAAAAAGAATACTTTAATATAGCATTGAATGATATGTATACTTTGGATCAATGACTGTTTTTAATGCTGAATATAAAAGTATAGACTCCGTGTAGTGACTATATTGTGAAAGCAGCTAAAATATTACAGTTAATAAATACTCCAATTTCTGTATTATTTTACTAAAGCAGCCATCTTTGTCAATACTGCCACACTTGTGTTTTCTAGAAGATAAAACTCAAGGATATGCTTTGATTACTATATATAGTCATTCATTATTTTAATGAACTGTTTGAACAGTCGCATTAAAAATCTATTTTCCTGCCAATACAAACCTGGGGTATTTGTACTTCACACATAAGAACAATGTTTAGCTGAAAGGGTTATTCTGTAGATTGGTACATTTCATTTGCACCATTATACTTTTATATAAAGTGTGTAGTGTGAGATTAGATGATCTAAGCTGAGAGTTATATCATTAGGGGTATGGTGGCTGGGGTCCAGAGGCGCTGCTCGTCAACAGGCGAGGCAGGTAACTGCTTGGGGCCCCAGGTCAGTAGGGGGCCCCCAAGGGCTGATCAACTTTAAACCACAGCAGTGACTCAAAATTTGCAAGTTTTGCAATGACAGTAGGAAGCCCCCTAAGTGGCCCCATCTGACAGCACTCACTATGACTGAATGATGCTTGTCTATTGGCCTAAACATGAGGTAGAGACACTTTTATAAAATAACTTATTTATAACATAATGGGGACGAACGCTGTTTGGAGGGGCCCCTTGTAAATGTTTGCCTAGGGCCCAAACAGACTCCAGAATCGCCACTGCAGGGGTCAGAACATGCACTTATTGTTGGGAATACTTTGCTTTATCGTCTGGCTTTAAGAGGGTAAATGGACCAACAACTGTTTAAAGACTATAAACTAGTTGTGTATTTATTAGCAAGAATCACTCAAGCAATGGATGCTAATCGTCATATATCTCCTTTTTATTGTATATTTTTGTTTAACATGTAACAATGTTTATCGGCATATATCTGAGATTTGTATCTTTTCTTAAAGTGGCCACAGCTTAAAAAAACAGATGAAAAAGTCAGTACATGAAGACATTCAGGTCATTATTGGACTTAACTCCTTCCATTTCATCAGAAGACAACATGGAATTAAAATCCAACTGTTACTAAATAATGGAGGGCAACACAGAATTTAGTGATATACTGTACTTAGAAAGTCTTTAATGTTCTGAGAATACAACAAAACAATTACCTGAAATGACCACAAGAGGGAAGCATAAGACCAGGGAAGATTTTTCTGCTTCCCCACTTCCACAAAGCAGACCGGTACACTATGGACAAAAGAGTGACTTGAAACAACTCATTACTCAAAGAACAGCTATTAGCCACGCTCCATTTCTTCCTTTATGCTCATAATGGTCTGATTTTACACTCAATCTATTGCCACACTTGAAGAGTACATGTTCTTTTATCAGCAGTTGCCTAATCTTGCTTGAAGTGAAAAAAAGACATTTTAGCAGAGGCAATAACAGTTACATTGAGCACTAAATAAAGGGAAGTACAGTCATTCCAAAATGTAATAACAGTATGTATGCCAGATATCTGTTTAATGACTGCACACATTACATGTAGTTAATAAAAATATTAGAAAGCAGTTTTGAGGTCAAGAAACAATGATTTGTTGCCCTAAGGGAAATATTTCAAGTTTGTCTTTTATTAATTGTGATTCACCTCGTCTCCCTGGTAATAAGCTCCTCCCTTGTTAATAAAACTCAGGGGATCTGCTCAACACAGAGATTTGATATAGCTACCTCCACAGCTGTGTGAGCCAAGCTGCCTTTGGCCATCATACAGTCCTATTCTGACCAGACCAGAGAGACAGAACAGGATGTCTGGGTGTGTTCAGAGAATTATTGTTTGTCCTGCAGTCTGCCTTAACAAACTCCTAGTCTACTTTCAAACCTCTAACAGGCCTTTCATTGGGGGGGGGGAATGTATGTAACCTTCCTCCTAAAGCAGGCAGTCGAGATCAAATATTTAATTTCACATCTTATCTCTGCAGCACTGATGGATGTAAGTTGATCCTCTGGCTGAGAGCTGCAACTGTTCCCAGCAGGGGGTCCATCCTGTCTGAGTCTGTACGCTCGCTGCCATCAGGAGCAGCTGTGGGGAGGATGGAGGAAGGTCACTCCCAAAATGAGGCTGAGTGTCCAGAAATCAGAGAGCCCCAGTCCTGGTGTCTCAAGGTTGAGATTGATATAGGAATCCCTGCAGAGGAAGAAATGGAGCTCAGTGGAGCTCATTAAGGTGTCCGTTATGGCTCCAAATACAATGCTACAAAGCATCAGTCCATTTTCTGCCATTTAGATCACCATCTGAGGACTACTTAACGTGCTGCTGTATGGACTGCTTTTCATCTTGAGGATTTTCTCCTTCATTGTGTTGTTCTATTAAATTTCAGTTTAGAAATTGAAAATCAAAGACTGTACCTTTAAGTCAAATACTGTACCATTGTCATGTCAATGTTGAGAAAAAGCTGAAGGACGATGCTACTTTGTTCTGATTTACAACACTCAGTTGTATTAAAAGGGCTTTTGGTAAGAAGGGAGAGTAAAGCATTAATATTTCATGACAATACTGAATAACACAATGGCCCTCATTTCAATGAGGGAAAATTTTGAATAAAATAATCAGCATGTTGCAATTGAATACAAGATTAATACAGAACTAATCAGAGTAACTTATAGGGATCATAGATGTGACTGGCTAATGCAGTGGCGGTTCTAGACCACTTTTACTGAGGGGGCCAAACTGGGGTCAATTGTTTTGTCAGAGTAGAACATTAAACCCAGGTGAAAAATAGACAAAGATGTTCGCTTTAAAAAATATATGAATATAATGCCAAATAATAGCACACATCATTAAATACCATGATTTATATTTGTTTCAGTAACAGAATTGAATACTAGATTGTGAGTCCCGTTGTTGACTCAAATACTGTGTATGTGTTATTTGGGGGGCTCTTCCTTTTGGAGGGGTGGCCACGGGGGGGGGGGGGGGGGGGCAAGCTCAGTGTTACAGGCCCCTGTTGACCCCTGTCTAGAACCGCCCATGGGCTTAATTTTAAGAATTACATTTTTGTTCCATGAGTCATTGAGCTTGAGTAGGACACATCTGCACATGTTGAACTAAATGTAATCTTCTAGTGTTTATAGCTAGACGTATATGGCAGCTTTAATCAATTTAGTGCAATTTTCAACTCTGAATTCTGACTTCGAGCGACACTCCCCTTTCTTCAATGCAGGGAGGTTTTTGAAGCTGAGCTTCCTTGTTTTATTTCTTTAATTTTTAATGAAAGTTCAAGCCATCGTATATTTACGCCTGTTTGGTTAGAATATAAATATACTGAGAGACACTTTTCCCCTCTCTGCTTTTGAAAGAACAGCAGAGGCCCAAATCTCATTTCATTCTCAACATCTGCTCTGCCTCCTGCCCCACTTGGAAAAAAAATTCTCATTTTGAAACAACGGCCATGTTGCATCCAGGAAAGGGTTAATGAAACATGTTGAATTTGTTCATTTCGATGTCCATATGCAAATAATACACTGTACACGTATATGCTTTGAAATCCACTTTGTTAGCGGGCACACATGTGGTTATGCTACCACAACCACCATGGACTTCATTGCACATGTCGTCTGCCATGTTTTCCTCTTCTTCCTCTTTGATCCAACATGATACACACAGCAGTTCATTTGGGATGCAGGCTGTGTATCAGGTGGGATGTGGGGATGAAGTTTGGTCAACCTTAATATGTCAGTTGTTTGGCAGGCCAGGCGAGGCAGTAAAGGATTTTCTGTTCAAACTGTGTTAGCAGCACACTTCAAGACGGCCACCAGAAGGCAGTTTGCAACAGGCTGCTGTGTTTAGGTTTCAATCTTGCGCAACAAACAGAGAATTATGTGGCTGAAACAATGACGACTCTCATGTAACATCAAGATTAGAGGATCCAGATGTTTTCCTCAAAAGGATGGTTGTAACAGTAATGTTTTATGGGAGAGCTATGAACCAACACTGTTTATGTCTGACTTTATGTTATTATTATCTTTTTTATGAAATGATCTTCATTAAGCTATCAATCAATTAAGCAAGTTAATCAGCCGTCACTTTTCTAATGCGTTAGGATGTCATTCTTAAATATGTTTCATCTGATAAAACACAGCATTATTATGTGTAAATAGTTTAATGGTGAGACAAAAGGGTGGTGGCTAATAACTCCAATGCCTGAGCAGCTCTCTGTTGTATTATGTTGATACATTTTATAGCAAAAATAAATTATATTCACCAGAAAATATTGAAGCTGTTCCGGTTCTTGGAGAGAAATTGACAGTTCTTGGCACACTGCGGGCTTAATTCCATGTAATTCCCCCATGTGCTCTGATTGCAAGAGAAGCTGCTGCTTGGAGACTGTAAAGAGACATAGCATTAAATCAGACCTCAAACATATAATCAGCCTTTTTCTGCATCAAACACAGTGCCAGCAGTTAATAATTAAGCAGAGGCTCGACCTGGGTAATTATCGCAGAGTGAATAAAAATGAAAAAAAAGGTAAAGGGGTTAGAAACACACAAGCATGGCCGTGTTTCCATGTAAGAAGGAAGGTTTCTCTCAGCTCTTTCAAAGTTTCACACAAAGGTGTTAGGCTGCAATAGAGGTTATGCACATCTCCCAAATGTGTCCTCCAATACCCTGTTTGCAGTTTTCTCCTCCAAGCCATCTTTTATCTTGTTTTCTCCTCTTTTCAGATGAAATTTGGGAAAGGAGGTCTCATACTTTCATTCATTCTTCCCCTGGGTTTTTTGTCCCTTTGCTTACCCCATACAATGTATAATACAGACATACAGTGTACTGATGTTTGCTTGATAAAGTAGCAACTTCCCTAAGCCTCCCAGCAACCACGTGCTATAAAATATAAACCCCAGCAACCACTGAGCAAAGCTAGCAACAACTTAGAAACACATTAAGAAACCAAGTGACAACTAGCGACTAGCCAAAAACTGCAGTACCTGGAGTGGCCACTTGAGGCAGGCTTCAAAAGGGAATCCCGATTGGGCCTTGCATTAATGAGCCCAAATATATGTATAAATATGTATAAATATGAATACATCCTGATACATATAATAGGCTTTAGAGAGGCCCTGGGGTTTAATGTAATTCAATTACAAGTTTAAATTGAATGATTATTATTTAATTATTATTATTATTATTTAATTTGAAGCACTAATGCAGCACATTTCTTTTTTATCAGTACACAAAGGCCCAACT